TTCCTTCCGCTAATTAAGCCGGCCAGACGTCTAGTTGATTTCATATCAATGATCCATAGATGTACGGTGACATACGGCGGATAGAGTAGTACTTCGCTGAATGAGATTTAATTACATCGCTGAATTTTCATTATTCTGTGATTCATTTTATTTACGAACATTTTCTCTCTTTCTTCTAGGAGGAGGATCCCAACAAGCGTCGCGGCCGCCAGGTGCTCGACATTGAGATTAACTTTCGCCCCAGCGACGAAGGCCGCGACTTTACCCGCCGCGGTGGCCCCGGCGGAAGAGGCGGACGAGGCGGTCCGCGCACTCCGCGCCCTGATGGCGGCGAACGTCGTGGCGGAGGAGAAGGTGGAGAACGTGGCCCGCCAGGCGAAGACCGCCGTCGTGGTCCGCCACGCGGCGAAGGCGGCCCCGGTGGCCCTGGCAGTGCTGAGGGCGGTGGCCGTGCTCCTCGAGGAGGCGCCGGCGGCGGTCGTCCCGACCGCGGCAGCGGACGTGGCGGAGGTCGTGGTGGTCAGGGCGGCGGTCGCTTCCAGGCGGCCCCCAAGTTTGACGACCTGAACGACTTTCCGTCGCTCTAAGCGTCCGCGGGCGCGCGCAACATGCGCCCCACCTCCCAGCGCAGGTGGTGACCGGCAGGGCAAACCCCTTGCTGTAGTGCAGCAGTGTCCCTCACCACCGCCTCTCCTACCCAAACACACACACACCCAACACGCCACCTGTCGCTGAAGATGATCGATCGATCGATCGGTCGGTCCCGTGGTGGTGGTGGTGATCACACACACTACTATCACCATCTCTCTCTCTCCCTTTCTTTCTTTACACACACCCACACGCCCACACACCAACCAACAAACAAACAACCTCCACCACCTCTACTACCACCACCACCACCAACTTTCTGATAATATAAAAAATAAAGATTGCCAATTGCAGTCGTTGCCTAATCCTCTTTTTGGTTGTCCTGTCTTTTTCCTCTTCTGTAATGGGGGACCACTGCCAGCTTTGATTGCCGGCAAAAGGGTGCCGGTGGTTCAGTTTGTTTGACATCATTTGCACACTTTACAAGTACATGGACTTATACGGTGGTAGAGAAACAGCAGCAGCAGCAGATTTAGAACTAGGCGGGCAGTACCAGCTGTCGAAATGTTTCGGGTCATAGCTTGAGGCAAGAGAAAACAGAAGATTTGAGGAAAAGATAACAGATGGAGAGAGAGCCTCCAGAGTGTTTGGAAGGAGTCCCCACACACGAGAAGACTGGGGTCACTTGGACAGCAGCAGCCACTCGTAAAGGGGGAACTCACTTGCTCGCTAGCTGCCACTGAGATCACTTCACTGGCTCACTTGTCCACGTGGTTTGCCACTTCTCAACTGACTGACTCACTCTGGCCCAACTTCACCACAACTTCCCAGAATGTCCCTCTCTAAACCCCTGAACCATCACTCCCCACCACCACCTCCACCACCACCGGAACTACCCCACCTCTGTCTGCTGGCCCTCTTCAGTCAGATGACCACCCTGGACCGGCTGAGCGCCCACCAGGTCTGTCCCCAGTGGTACCACCGAGTGCGCGAGCTGAACACCGCCACCACAACTTCGCTCACCATTGCCATCATCGACTACACTGAAATGAGCGGAGGAAAAAAGTGGCTAGAGAACATCCAGCGGATCATCAACAAGTGCTCCATCGGCTGGGTCTTTGCCGATTGCCTGATGACCGCCGACAGCCATCATCATCATCATGCTGCTGACCTTTCCAATGACACTTCTCCACTCCCCAGCAGTTTTTCCCGCCAGTGGCACCGCCTAACCCCCTGGAACACCTTGGCACTGGAAGAGGAGGAGCTAAACTCGGCCACCCTTCGAAAGCAGCTCACCACCGCCTTTGCCGACCTCACTGCGCTCACCTTTGTTCGACCACTGTTCAAGATGGGCGCCATTGCTCAACTTTGGGCTCCTCAGAACCGCCAGTCACACCTGCTGACCTACCTGGGACAGCTGTTATGGGGGGCAAAGCGGTGGCGTCTTCAACTGCGCCACCTCAGCCTCTTCGGTGGCGTTCAGAAAGAGGAGGGCTTCCTCGATGATGACGCCCACGTGGAGGCGCTCTTCTCTGAGCTCATCAACGCCCGTCCTCCGGCACTGCCCGCCCTTCGCTACCTGACGCTGGAGAACCTGAAGCTGCCGGAAGATCTGCCGGTGCTGGCGCAGCTGAAGGAGATCACCGTTGGAAGGTCCTCCTGCTGCGACCTTGATTCGGGCAAAGCCTTTCTGCGCTCAGTCTGCCGCTACGGCTCTAAAAGAGAACGAGACGGCAACAGGACAGCAGCAGCAGTTCTCAAGGTGAACTTTTTTAACGGTGAGGACGTCCTCTCTGAGCTGCTCCTCCATGGCCACCTTCGAAGGGGTATCACTCGCCTGAGTAGTAGGTCACTGTTCCTCCGAGTTCCGCTCAGGTTGACCGACATTGTGACCCGCTTTCCCGGGCTCACCTCGCTGACGCTCACTGTCTCTCCCACTAAACTGGCGCGGCTCTTTCCTCTAATGGCCCAACAGCTGCCGCACCTGGCTCATCTGCATCTTGAGGATTGGAGCTTTGCCAGGCGATATGTGAACGTTCTTCCGCCTCTCTCCGCTTCGTTGTCTTCGATGAAGCTATTTGAACTTAATGTGCGCAAGTTTACCTCCTCCTCCTCCTTCTCCTCTGACCTGAACTGGTTCAACCTGCCGGCCACAATGCCCGCCCTGCAGGCCATCAGCTTCTCCGCTCTCAGGTGCCCACAGTGCAATTGTTGCAACTTCTTTAGAAGCTATCGCTGGTACTACCACGCCGGCACTGAAGCTCAACCCCTCTGCTATCGTCTCGCTCTCGACGTCCTTGAGCTGCTCCACGCCGCCACCGGCCTCCCCTTTTCTCGGCTGCTGTACCAGAGCGAAGACAGCCACCTCTCTGCGGAGCAGTATTTGGCGCTGACGCTTGGTCAAATTGAACCACCACAACAACCTGATGATGATGATGATGGTTATTGGTTATAGTAGCGGCCCATAGGCCGCTAGCGACGTGGCTTTGAGAGTTCGAAGTTACGTCGCCTGTTTGTGTATATAAGCAGCTACTCTTTGCCATTAAAGTCAGTCTGGACTACGTATGCTTGCGTTCACTCTCACTCAGCGCTTCTTTATTGGTTTAAACACTGTTTAAAAAGTGCTCATTTTAATTTAAATAATAATATATAGAGAAAAGAAATTTAGTCCGATGATGAGTGGGAAAGGTGGTGGTGGTGGTGGTGGTGGTGGTGGTGGTGGTGGTAGGGTAGAAAAGAAAAGAGAAAATATGAAGGAAAAAAGGAAAAGGGAAAAAAGGTTCCTAGGACTAGCCCAGGGCTGTGTTGAGGGGAAGAGTTGGAGTCGGGGTGTAATGAAGTTGGGGTTTGGTGATGTTTAGTGGTGGAGATTGCCGCTGCCACCACCTCCTCCTCCTCCTCCGTTGAACTCGCCACTATCGTTGATGATAATGGTCTGCGTCTCGCCACTGCCGCTGATGTTAATGGTGCGCACGCCGCCACCGCTGGTGTTGATCAGCAAGGATCAGCTGTCCCGGGCCTCTAGAGTCTTCGGAGGGAGTCCCTCACACACGAGAAAAAGACTGGGGTTAGGGTCAGTTCAGGGACAGCAGCCAACGGTAAAGAGTGAACTCACTCGCTCCTTAGCTGCCACTGAGATCACTTCACTTCGCTCACTTGTGCTGTCCACGTCTCGTACGACTGACTGACTGACTGACTGACTGATCACCACCAGAATGTCCCTCTCCAAAGCCCTGAACCATCACTCCCCACCACCACCACCACCACCACCGGAACTACCCCACCTCTGTCTGCTGGCTCTCTTCAGTCAGATGACCACCCTGGACCGGTTGAGCGCCCACCAGGTCTGTCCGCAGTGGTACCACCGAGTACGCGAGCTGAACGCCGCCACCACCACTTCGCTCACCATTGCCATCGTCGCCGACAACAGTGGTAAGGGGTCACTGAAGAGCATCCAGCGGCGCATCAACGAGTGCTTCTTTGGCAGAGTCTTTGCCGCTTACCTGCCGACCGCCNCGTCGCCGACAACAGCAGTGGTAAGGGGTCACTGAAGAGCATCCAGCGGCTCATCAACGAGTGCTTCTTTGGCAGAGTCTTTGCCAAATACCGGCCGACCGCTGACAACCATCATCATCATCATCATCATGCTGACCTTTCCGAGGACACCTCTCTACTCCTCTATTCCCGCCAGTCGCACCGCCAAACCCTCTGGAACACCTTGGCACTGACTGAGGAACACCTAAAGTCGGCCACAGTTCGAAAACAGCTCGCCACCGCCTTTGCCGGCCTAACAGCACTCACCTTTGTTCGACCGTTCTAAAATGACGTATATATGATATTCTCAATTCAATGAGGAGGATTAGCGCTCTTTTCGGAGTTGCTCATCAACGAACGACATCACTGTTTAAAAATTGCTCATTTTAATTTAAAGAATAATATAGAGAAAAGAAATTTAGTCCGATGATGAGTGGGAAAGGTGGTGGTGGTGGTGGTAGGGTAGAAAAGAAAAGAGAAAATATGAAGGAAAAAAGGAAAAGGGAAAAAAGGTTCCTAGGACTAGCCCAGGGCTGTGTTGAAGGGGGAGTTGGAGTCGGGGTGTAATGAAGTTGGGGCTTGGTGATGTTTAGTGGTGGAGATTGCCGCTGCCACCACC